ACCAGGTAAAAACATACTAAAAATTCAGATCGGTCAAGGCAAGGATGAGGGAGAGGGGGTTTAATTTGTCGCCCGGAGGCCAATTTTGCTATTTTACCCCTAAAAAACCACAAAAATGCGATTATTTTTCGAGGAGCTCCGACAACCTATTTCGAAATTGCCCAAAAACCCATCAGGGAGTACCCCACTACAACCTCCAACTTGAATTTTTGATGTACAACAAAGTCGCATTTAAAGTGAGTTCAGGGGCACCGTGCTCAAAGATCTTGCTTCATTTTCATTTCGTCATTTTTTTAGACGCCACTTTTATTGCAGTGCCCTTTATTCTTAGGCGCATGGAACTCTGCGCAAGAAAAAAATTTGGTTTTAATCTGCTTTGATTTTTTTGTATTTATGTATGAATTACAAAGGGTTCCAGCCACAAGAAGGTCTTTCAAACAGGATTTTTTCTTTTTAAAAAGAAACATTGTATTGAAAGTATTTTTTAACAATTATTTTGAGATTTCAAGTACTGAGATTAATTGAAGTGAACCTTCAATTGATGCCAGCCTAATATTTTGTAAATTTTGATCTAGCAAAGGCACATCTATTTATGTAAACCCCTGTTTTTTTATGGTTGACAATGCATATTTTATCAATTTAGGGATCAAAGCTTCTTTCCACTTCAGTAGTGGAAACTTCATTAAGTGAAATCAGTTTTGTTTAAGAATGCTTGTCTTTTTTGTTGATAAGTCGCATGGTCTTCCATTTGAACCATTAGTTTTTGTACTCTGTTTTATAATTATTTTTAGACTTGTTTTTGATTTGTCTTTTATTGTTGCATCTAAAATCCTAAATGCTAACTGCAGCTTTTGTCAAGGGATACCTAAAGTTAAGGGAGTTTCAATGAACGACTTTAAGTTTTAGCCTACGTTTTTAGGTAAAAAGCAGACTATAGTCTGTTGGAGGAAAACAGGTGTCAAGTATATTTCAAAGTGTTACGGTGTTGCATACAAATGAAGTTCAAGGTAGGGAGGATATTGAAAGCACTACTCATTTTAGAGGTACATGAGCTTATCCGAAGGAAGTCCCTTCAAATGAAAGAAAACCTGTTCAAGTAAACCTTTTCCCTGTTTTTGCTGTTATGATGAATTTTGAAATATAAAATTGTTAAATTTCCTAGTTGAACAAAGAATTCTGTTAAAAAAATCCCTGTGACCTGTCAATGTTTCTGCCTGGTATTGCTAGAAATGCAGAGTCTCCCCCGGAGAACAACTATAAATGCTTTCGGAGGATAGTACCTGAAAACTTTATTTCCCTCACGAAAGAATGTAACTCCATTCCAATGTTGTCAAATTTCCCCTCTCAAATTCCATATTAATCAGGAGAATCCTCTGCATTTTTAACTGATGATTTCAATGAATGATTCGTCCTCAGATTTCTTGCAAAAAGTAGACAAATTTTGTGTAAAAATTGCACAGGTTTAATTAATTGTTCGAGTCAATTTGGCAACCTTCAAATGGAGTTACGTTTCTTCGTCCGGGAGACAAGGAAATGAACGAAGGAGTAGATTTGACCTTTACGTCACAACTTTTTGAATGATTATTCATGTCAACGTGTTGTAAGTTCCAGCTTTTTGAAGTTCGACAGAACCAAATCATGTGTCGTAGGATACTTAAGGGCGGCTGCTGGAAGCAATTTTATTCTTGCCACCTCAAGGTTATGTCAGAAAGATGAATTGGATTGCATTTTGCAAAAAGGAACCAGAAGAATTGCAATGATGCTAAGAATAAGCATTTTCATCCTTTGCAATAAAATTACTGAAACCATGAAAAAATATGAAATTTACTTGGGAATTTTGTCTTAAATTTACAGTTTTTAGGGAGCTAAATAGAAATTGTTAGTGGATAATCAGGTTTTTCTTCCAAGACAAAGGAAGTTGCTTAATCTTAGCAACATTGCAATGCTCCTGGTTCCTTCTTGCAAAATGCAATCCAATTTTTTTACCTGGTGTTAGATTGATGTATCGGCAACCCATGAGGATGAGAAAATTCTGGAGGATACTCGAAAGCTGAAGGGGGATTTGGGAAAGACCCTCAAAAATTTTCCAAAATTTAGAGTTTCTCATTAGGCATTTTCAGCATTCTCAGTACTTTTTGTCCAACTCAGTCTCTTTTTGTCCAGTATTGTACGTACTTTTTGTCCCTTTGTTTACTAAAAGAGTGGTGGAAAACTTAAGCAAAAAAATTCATATGCTCTTTCGTGCCTTTTTGTCTGCAGTTGTTCTCTCTGCATTTTTATATTACATCAGCCACATTTGATCAACTTGAAAATAATTATTACTTCAATGATTCTAGAACAAGACTCATTGTGTTTGATACCTTCAAAAATGATAGAGTGGACTAGGTCATTAGAATATATGGACTCAGGAGTTCTCAGGACAAAAAGTGAAGACATCGTAAAAACTACTGTCTCTAACTTCAAAAATTCTACTTAATTCAGGAAGATACATACATACGAGTCACTGTTATAGCGCTCTTTGGCGCTTTGAGACACCTAATCGCCACAAAGCTCGGTCTTCCCACAGGTTATCAGGGAGTTGACACTCCCTCATCTCACTTAACACCCCCTGTCGCCAACCTCTCACTGGGCGTCCCCTACGCCTCCTCCCAGGAGGAACCCAATCAAGCATCTTTTTTGGCAGCCTCTCTTCCGTCATCCTATTGACATGACCATACCAAACAAGTTGTTTGGTCATGACGTCGAACACGATGTCATTTTCGACTTCCATTATCTGACGCACTCTATCATTACGGACCCGATCTCTCCTAGAAATTCCTGCCGACCTTCTCCAGAAATCCATCTCCGTTGCTCTTAGCATATCCTGTGTCCGATTCTTCAGCTGCCAAACTTCACATCCGTATGTTAATATACCTTTTACTACAGCGTTGTATATCCTAAGATAATTCAGGAATTCAGGAATTCATTCATTGTAATTCAGGAAGATACTGTGTAGATTACAATTTTGACCATCAACTTCCTTTATGTCAAACAGTTAAGCAACCAGATATTTAGTTCCACTTAGATGACATTTTTTTCTTACCTATGGAAAATTCGACGGGACCTTGAAAAATTTGACTTAAAGGGAAATTCTACTTGAAGAGTGTTTGACTTAGAGGAGGTTAACTATAGTCTATTGCTTTCATTAAAGTTTATGACACGAGATTAAATGTGTGTTTTATGAAAACATAATCATTCATTCACTCAGGTAAATTTGTTGTCTGCGCAGTAAAGTTGAAGGCAAAATACAAGTTGACATTATTTACCAATATGTTCATAACATCGTGCCTAGGTTCAATCATTGCTTATGGAGTATTAAAAATTTTCTTTTTTTACTGAAATCTTAAAGTGCTGATATTGACTAAAAAGTTTTCCTTCAAATTCGCAGTATAAGCAGCAAACCCACTGGGGAGCACCCTTAGTTGCACATAAGAAAAACACGAAAAACATTCTATTAGTACCCGAACTTTGATGGAACTGGTAGACATCAACTGAGCCTGTTGATAGGTATTGCACACTTGACATTCATCTTCAGTTTTGCTGCATAGACAAAAGCAATAGGTACTGGGTCCTACTTGAAGAACATTCATTTTAATAGTTTTGTAAGTTTTGATCCCATTTGTTTAAATTATTCATCAGCAGTTAATCTTTAATTTTACTGCCCAGGCAAAAAACCAGCCAGAAAGTTTTTCTTCGAATGTGAAAGGAGAAACAATTTGAAAGTGGAAAAAAGAATGGACTTGAAAAGGTAGGCTCTGATTTGTCTGTCCTTATCCGAAATTCTAGTTTTGCTCTTGGTACGTACCTAGTTTCGAATCCCAAGAATTTTAGCAATCAGTCACCACCCTCAACGCTCTCGCAAAATGCTTAGAGAGAGCGCAAAATCATATTTGGCGGGCACAGGCTTTTTCAAGGTCTTTAACAAGTTGCACCAAACTTCTACTTCAAAACCCCTCATCTCTGATCAGTTAGGAGTACCTAAGTAAATTCAAAATGCAAATTTTTCCGCACATTTGCATTTATATATTTTATAAAAATGTGAACTACTTATCATTCGATTTTATTTCTCATCGTGAAGTTAGTAAACACAATTATAAAATTTGGTACCAAAATTAGGAAGTTTAACAACCTTGCGCGGTAACTTTCCATTCACAACCACAACATAAACAAATCAAATCCTGATTCTTGTTATGAAATACACGTGCACTGTTCGTAATTGTGTGGCTAAATTATCTTTTCTTTATCCAATTTTGAACTAAATTTCGAGAATCCAAATGTTTTTTTGGCCCTCTTCTACTTTTTTGTCGTCAAGAGCGTTGTCTGTAGATTAGTCCTTATTCTCAGCACAATTCGCCGTTCAAGGTTAGCTAGGTAGCTCAGCTATAGTTTGATCACTACTTATTTTCCTCCAGAAAATGGGAAAACCAGCAAAAGCAGCCGGTTCTTCTGACAAGTCGCGCACTAGGGGACAACCAGCCAAGTCGTCAAGTTCATCAAGAAAGACGTCTTCAAGATCATCTTCATCTACCTCCAAGGAAAGATCATCCAAATCTGTTCTTGAAACGAAGACAGAACTCGAGGAGATCAAGTTTCCAAAGAAAACTTACAATGAATCTTTCAGTAACATCGTCCTTTACTTAAACCAATATGAAAAAGGACATATTTCTCCCACAAATCTGAAACGGGTAAGTGGTTGGATTTGTTATTGATGCGTGAAATACTGCTGCCCCTGATGCGGCTACTGTTACTCTATTGAATGGATGCTCACTTTTGGGCTGAAACTGCATGCTAACAATTGAATCTAGCAATAACATCAGTTGGACAAATGAAACGTGTTTATCGTAAATTGAGTTGTCTGCGTTTTTTTCCTATTTATGGAATGGTCGCAGCAGAACATAAATGGGACTGTGACTGCGATTGACAACTACCTCTTAAAAGTGGTCCATTGGGTAATCTTATTGCATTAGAACACAATGGCTTACACTCTGAGATGATTACACAACTGATTATCAGCAGTTATCCATTAAAAGAGGAATTCTTTAGGTTTTTAATCCAACATAAAATTATGAAGTTTGCCAGAATGTGGTTACATGCCCATAGACAAATACAAATGTTTACATTTCCATGAATTTACTAATGTAAAGTTGGTTGGTAACAATTACGAAGAGAAATATAAACAAAAGTCAGGTTCTCATTTGAAAGAACCGATTTGCTTGAAAATTTGATCTAAGATTTGAACAATAAAATATTTCAAGGACATAAGGTGAATATGAAGTCCAGCTTTTTCGTTGATTTTTAAGTCTATGATGGAGGTGGACCAAGGGTTGGGTTGTGAACAAATCTCCACCAATTAGCAGCTTTCTCTGAAGCCCAATTTGTGCTAATGACAAACGCTGCCTTCAGTGTAGCATACTTCACAGATTGTAGTTTTTATTCCTGAAAAAGTGTGAAGTCTCAGTGCAACTGCACAGTGCTTGTCCCATTTGATAGGAATAGAAGGTCTGATGGACATGATTGCTACTTAACAGTAGTCAAATCATAAGAATTTTGATGATTTCTATGGTAATCTGTTTCAGATCTATTTTTTCCCAGTGATTCCAGTGTTTCTTCATATTTGCTTATTTCTGTAAAAAAAAAGGATAAAAAACTTAATTTCAACCTTTCCTTTTTTTTTTTAAAGAAACAAATCTTACAGTGATTGCATCCCCAATCATCCCAGTGAACTTACCACTTGCTTGTATTGCTGTGACTATCACAGCTCCCAAAAAAGCAAGAGAACCAGGGGTGCGGACACTCTCAGACCACATGAATGGCCTGGTTGCTTGTCGATCACCTGATGCGCGAAAGGGGGAACTCCTGTGTGCCCAGGACAAATAGTGGAATGCTGTCAGATTTTTTTTCGAACTTTTTGTATTTTCCATGATAGAAAGTTCATTTTTCGGGGGAGGAAAGGTTTTTTTATTTTCTCTTTTTGTCCGTCATCAGGGGAACTGGTAACTCATCATAAATTCCCAAGGGTAGGCTTAGAATTATGTTCACCCTCAGTTAGATCAGAATCAATGTTGTCCATGTCCAGCATCCTGTTAAAACCGCATGTTGGCATCTTTTTCATTCTTTCAGAAAGACATATAAATCAATTAACAACATGGGATGAAATCTTGTGGAAAAAAACAGTCATTTTTTAAGAGACACTCATAAAAATCTCTTCTTTCTTTTCCTAAATAATAGAGCTTCTTCAGTTTAGTTTCTCCAGTGAAGTAGAAGTATATGAAAATATTTGCAAATAATGATTTGTGAACAGCAAATTAATCTTAAAATGTTTAATTTTGTAACTAGATGCATCAGTTAGCAGTCATCAAGGATGCGAAAACATTGCAGGTTGTTCAGTTAAATACAATTTTTGAGCGAAGAATCACATCTCTTACATGGCATCCGACTCTGACCAACATTCTGGGTCTGGCATCCAAAGGCGGCGGATTAATGTTGGTTAATGTCTCCCAAGACAATTGGGATGTTATTCAGCAATATCCCGGTGTAAGTTGAACCTCACACTCACATTTTTCAAGTTCACTGTCAGCTAGCTTGTCACCCTGAGCAATAACAAGAGTTCAGAAAAACTCTCATGGAGTAAATCATTTTTCAATGTGACCACTGAACCCCTCTTAACAAATTGGGAAAACAAGGATTGGTTTACTAATTTCTTAGCCTTTCAATCAATTAATCAATTGATAGATGAATATGACCTGTTTTCAACTTACAAAATCCCTCTAATCAAAGTAATGTCCACAATAAGCGTATCAAGATCCTTGAGGACTTGGTTTTAAAACAATCTGAACAGATCGAATGTCTGACGAAAGTCATAGAAACTCTCATGCAGGGGCCGACTTTTTTCCAAAGTCCACCGTGATCTGTAATCAACTCCTTTTCTCTGCCGTCTGTTGATAGGCATCTATCTGTATCTGTTTCTGTGAATGTTGTCTTGCTGTTTTGAGGTCATGAATTCCTCACTCTATCTAATTCTTAATCATGGAAGGGGATTTTCTCATTAATTGGTTTTTGCACCTTTTGATTTTTAGCTATGAGCATTTATCCTTTGTTTATAAATTTAGTGTACTATAAGTTTATAATTTCCACCTTTTTTGCGTATGCATTTCTTCCATTATAATTACTATAATTTGTATGTTAGGATTAAGTTTTTATTTACGAGTTTAGATCAGAGAGATATGTCACTAAGACGATGACTCCTGTATTTATCATGTATTTTTATACAAATGAATGAATTAAACAACAACAACAAAAGATGAATATGAACAGTTCACCAGAGTTGTGATTTTTGCAGGGTTATAGTATAGTGCACTCACTGTAAAATTTCATGATAAAACCGAAAAGCTCTCTAATAGTTCGAAAGAGTCTTTCCAATGGGAGAAAAAGCTAATCAAAATTTGATCAATCAAAAGCCATCAGTCCAGTTGATGCAGCAAGATGATGATTAAAGCTGAATCAGCAAACACCGTTACTCCTGCTTAGCTATGTCATCATAGCCCATCAAGAATAACGTTTCAAACAGGGCCCATTTTTAAATGGAGTTTCAGTTCCATTTAGAGTTAGAAAAAATCCGTAAAAATTCCTAGAAGCTTAGTTCACTCCCAACTTTCAGGTAATACATTTTTAAAAAATAGGTGTCATTGACCCATTCTGTCATAATTGTTTCTTGAAACTTTACAAGAATGCAAAACTTATCTGCCTTAATTATTATCTCTAAGTATTTCATCTCGAAAAACTCTATCTTAAAATTATTCTAAATTTCAGATTGGTCCTGGAGGTTCAATCCTGGCCTTGAAATTTCATCCAACCATTAATGAAGTATTTTTCACTGCTAGTCTGGATGGCACAGTTTGCTCTAGAAATTTTAAAACCAATGAATGCATTCAGTATCTATCGACCGGTAGCTACGAGTAAGTTGTGTTTCTTAAGTATAAATTGTTACTGCCTCCTTGCTTCACCTCTAGTAACAGCAGGGGCCCCCAGAATACTCCCTTGCAGTACATCTACCAGTATGTTACAATTTTTAGAAATAAATTAAATTTCCTTCGTTATTTTCAGTGTACTGAGACTAGTTAGCTTAGAAGGAATTTAAATGATTTTTTATGATCCCTCTAAAGTCCATGCGTTCAAGTATATTCATCAGAGTCTGATTGTTGACTTTGTCAAAGTTCTTAGAGAGATCACAAAAGACTGAAAGGCAAAGCTCCTTTTTATAGGAAAATTCTCACTTTAAGAGGAGGTTACCCAATGGACTCTTCATTTAAATTCAAAGCTTTTGCAAAGGTCCTTTATTTTCATTATTATTTTATTGTATTCTCATCGTACATCTAGAGAGACTCTTGGTCAATGCAAAACAAGCTTTGGAAACATAAAAGAAAGCATGTCAAACAGATTAACAGATAGTGCATTTTTCATTGACTGAAGGTCATTCTAAGATGGGAAAGCAGTACAAATAATGTAAAAATAAGCGACTTCAGCAGAAGCTTTCAATTCAAATGGAAAGACCATTCATCCTCCTTCAAAACTGATGAGAAAAAGCTACCTCACCAAATGAAAGTGCTCAAAGTTTAAGGTCTGTTTGTTTTATTTAGTGCTTAATCCGTCGTAATTTTTCAGTACCCAAGACACAATTCTTTGAATTTTGATATTTATTCTTGATGCAATGAAAAAAGTTGCGGGTCTGCCTTTTTTATCCTAACGATATTACAATTTTTCTATCTTTTCAGTCATTGGTTTACATCATTTGACTTAAGTGAGGAAACGGGTGTAATGATAGCTGGTGACACCAAAGGTGTCATTAGCCTCCTGTCTAAAGATGGTGCCAAGGTGAAGGAGGCCAAAATTCATCAGAAGAGCAAAGTCAATCATATTGAATTTTGCCCTCGGTAAGCTACATTACCTTTTTTATTGCCAAGTCAATTCACTTTTTAATTTTAATTTGTTTTAAAGTTATTTTTTTTTTATTAATATTTCCTATAATTTATGTCTCTACATTTGAGGCACTGGATGCGACAAGGGCACCTCTCGATTGGAGGATAATTTAATGAGTGATTTTTCCAGAATTCTTTCCATAGAGAATTGTAGAATCATAAGGAATATTCAGTAAAATTTGTAGTGAGATGGATGCATTCACTTTCCTTACAATGAATGGAATATTAGAGGAGACTCTGAAACACTGCAACCGAGAAGTGCCCTTTTCGCATCCAGTGCCTCATTTGTCCTCATCAGATTGAAGAGGTGGAGGAATTTTTAGAGGTTCAGCGTTTATGAGGTTTGATCAGCCATTCAAAATATGAAATAGAAAATTATAGTCAACATCCGAATCATGTAGATCCGTAAATATTCGGCTATATTTTGCGATTTTCAACGCTCATTTCCATACAAGCACTTAGAAGCTCCTCTTTTAAGTTCTTGGAAAACATAATTCCCAGCAATTAAAGAAAGCGTAATACAGTTGAATGTAACTATGATTCTGAGTTATCAATTTTGTTGCTCAAATAAGACTTCAAAAGTTTCCTTCCTAAAAAAAATCAAGAAAACGAAAAGAATTTAGTCAAAGATATGTTGAGAGGATTTTTTTGTACATGGTTGATAAAAAGGGAAAAGAAAAAAAATCATAAAGCTAACCAGTATATTACTTTTTGAGCAAAAAAAAAAATTATATGAAGTTCCTGTTTTATCTATAACACTGTTATCAATTTATGTATTCTCTAAAACAAAATGTAAGTTCATCTTTGATAATAAATATTTCCAAGAGGTTTTGTGCTCTTTCACTTCTGCAGCTATGTTTGGTGTCTGTTATGCTTTTTTTCCGAAATATTCTGAGAATCCATTTGACAATTTTCAGAAAAAGTTGGTTATTCGTGACAGCATCGCTTGACAGAAGTGTTAAGCTGTGGGATCTAAGGCAATTTTCTGAAAATGCTAAACCGCTCTTCACGTTTCCACATTTAAAACCGGTGAATTCTGCATATTTCAGGTTAGTTTTTTGCCGTTTGATTTTATACTGAAAACTTTAAGTCATGTTTTTGAATATTTCAGGTAATTTTTCAGGGTTTGTGATGTTTAGAAATCACAAAGCAATTTTTTCTGGCATGTTGGTTGTGTCAGCAAGTACATCAAAACAAGAAGACTATTGAATATTTGTAGTGCTGACTTGATTTTTCAAAATTCATGAAGTCCTTAAGTATCCTTCAATATTTTTTTTTCGATTATCGTAATTGAAAAGCTTACTACAGCACTGTTTTTAGTTGAAGAAGACAATGAAAATAATTATAGCCATCATTCTCAACTATTTTTCTCAATGGTTCAATTCCTGATTATCCACTCTGATATTGCAGTTTTTGTTTTTATGGGGTTTTGGCGGTTATTTCGGCACTTCTAATCTTTGACAAGAAGTATTTAAAATTCCAGTCGCTGAACATGGTACAGTTGTTCTTCAGTGTAACTGTCTCGAAAATATTCATACGTCCTTTTACTTAAGGACGGCTTTCTGCATGAAAAGAGACTACTCATTTTTCTCAACGACTCTTGTTGGTTGCTCCTTGATCGCATAAAATAAAGAATTTTTCTGAAACAGGTTCCTGCCGTTACTTCAAACATTCCATGATTTTGCTCTTTTTGGGATTGAGTATTAAGTCAAAATACACACCTTTGATTCTGTGTGACTTTGAAGTATATGCATACTGCTGTTGTTGTTCACTTTAAGTTGACTTATACATAGCTACGGCGCAATCCTAATTGCTGAACCTGATATGTGTTCTGCCTGTTCAATAACAATATGCATTGGTCATCGCGTTTATCAATCATAGTGAGTCAGTAATGCATAGTTCAGATTTGTCGTATGACAATTGAATTACATTTTGCAATAAGGAACTACGTAATACATTTGGCTATTTTCAGAAACAGCATTTTTTCTATTATTTTATCTATGCAGAATATCTTTTTATGGATGAGCCACAAGTAGAAGTTCCTTCTTGCAGAATGGAATCCAATTGTAGATACATTAAGGTAGTACAATTAAATTTTTTTCTGAATGCCAGGTTCCTACGCTAAGTATTGGTGGAGATATTGCTCCCCAAAAGAAAGGGCAATGGGCCAGGGATGTTGATACTCAAGCAAGTATCAATACCAATTCCGAAATATCAATACTCATGAAGTATCGGTGCTAGCAATTGATACTTTTAAAATGGAAGAATTTCAACACCAGCACTGTAGGACTGGAGCTACATGCTTTAATTGGCGAAGCATAAAACATATTTCAAAATTAAGCCAAGGAATTTGAATTGGAATAGCTTATTGGTATCTTTTTCAGGCTAAATCCTCCAGGTTTGGCAAAAAAGTCGATGATAAAAGTTAAACATTTTTAGAGGTACTTCGTTCTCATTTGGCTTCAGCTTTTGGGAAATTTAAATTCTTCAAGGGAGGTCATAATTTAGGGCATATCCGGGGGATAGGAAAAAATTCTCTGAACGGAAAAGCAAAAAGAATACACCCCCCTCCCTCCATATCAGATGCAGGGTGTCTACCGGTCCCCTAAAGTCCCCTATGTCCCCAATTTTGAAAGGGTGTCCCCGATATCCCTGAAAGTCCCCAATTCTCTTGTTCAGGTCCCCAAAAAATGACAAAAATCGTCCTAAACACCGGCATTTTCAAATTTTCCGCCAGCCGCGGCGGCGCAGTATAACCAGGAATGAAAAAACTGAAGTATTACTTGGTTTTTTGTATGTTTTCATTGGTTATTGGTTAAACAAAATTAGTCGTATAAAATACGCCTTTTAATGCTGTAACCAGCTCCCTTTCACTATTTCGGAAAAAAAATCCCCGATTTTTTTTTAAAAACTCCCCGATTTTTTTTTAAAAACTCCCCTAAAAGTCCCCGGAAGTCCCCAATTTTGGTTTTTCATAACCGGTAGACACCCTGAGAACCTGAGATAGAATTGAAGAGTTCTTCGCACAAAAAATCCAGGTTGTATGGGTAGCTACCACTGAGCTGAATTCAAAATGTTCAGCGCTTCGCGCCTTCGCGCGTGTTGGAACCCGATGACGGTGACTGTTGTCGCAAAATGCGGAACGTTGTTTTTCGGTAGTTATTCTGATTGTTTATTTCGCGCATTATGTTCTGCAACTTCTCGCGACTACCAGCTCGTTTTTTATGCTTTTTCAGTCAGTGTTGTGTGGTTTAATTCGATTTTGTTTCACTCTTGACATTACCGTGTAGTTTTCCGTCGACTCTCACAAGTTCTCGCTTATCGGTTGGTGACTGATCGTGAAGTAATCACGCATTGATGTGCGAAGTTCCGATTTCGAACAATGGCGGACCTAACCGACAGCAAGATAAACGTCGCTGCCCTGAAGCGAGTGGATCCGTACATCAAGGATATTATTGACTCGGCAACTCATGTCGCGTTGTACGCCTTCAACTCGGAAGATAACGAATGGGGCAAGACCAACATCGAAGGTGCGCTGTTTGTGTACAGTCGCTCGGGAGAGCCGCTTCACGGTATGCTCGTAATGAATAGGCTCAACACCAACAACCTAGTCGAACCGTTAATCAAAGGCTTAGACGTTCAGTTACAAGACCCGTTTCTCCTGTACCGGAACTCTCAAGGAAGCATTTTCGGGATATGGTTCTATGACAAGCAAGAATGCTACCGCATATCCGATGTTGTCATCAATCTTGTCAAAACGGCTGTTGAACCGAAAGCGCCCCCTGCCACGCAGAAACATGCCCCTGTCTCGAAAGACACAGATATCTTCTCCATGCTTAGCAAAGCTCAAGAAGAGTACAACACTACGACTAAAGTGCCCGTCAAGAAGAATGGATTAGAAGCGCATCAATATGAGGCTGTCGAATTAACTCAGCAGTTCAAGATGGACCAAAGTGTGATGGACTTCTTCGCTAAAGCCAGTGGCAGCAGCGGATCCCATTTTGTTGACAATCAACCGCAACCCAGAGGTATGTTCATGGCTGTCAAACACTTACCGCCTCCTGGAATGCCTCCAGGTTCCATTGGCGCTCCGCAGCACCAAACAAACATGAAACCCATCCTAGACAAGCTGAAGTCAAACCCTGTGCATTCCGTTGAACACATTGAAAAGCAGCAGAGGTCTCTGACTCCACAGTCTGAGATTCATTCTATCAAGGCTAACTCTACACCTAAGTCTAATGTGAAAGAAGCTAAACGGTCTGCAAAGCCAAGCAAGAGTTCCTCACGAGAAAGCACTAATCGAAAGAAGCAGCTAAACAATGTAGGTAAAGTAAGTGAAGATTTAAGTGTTCTCAGAGTTAATGAATCTTCGGAATCTGTTGATATTCCATCCCAGATGTTTGTTAATTCTAAACTAGTTGTGGCACATCTACCAGCTACAGGTGGTGAAGGTACCCTTCCTACTAAACTCATTGAACAGCGTAGTAGTGTTACAGCTCAAATTGATACTCCCAACAAACCAGCACTCATGCCTCCAGTGATGTTTGCTGCCTCAGCGAATGACACTGCTGCATCACCTGCTCTCAATAGTTTCCCTGTCCAAACCAACAGTACGAATGATGTTAGGATAGAACCCCTAACAAAGAATCAATTACTTCAAGCCCTAAATTATCTTATCAAAAATGACAGTGATTTTATTAATAAAATTCACGAAGCATATTGTAAATCCTTAGTCAACTGAACTGTGTAGTATGTAAACGAATTCTCTTGCACAAGATAAGTAAGCGGCAGTGAAAGGAATGTTTATGACTGAGCAGTGCTGCGTTCCTCTGAGATTCTTAAGAAATGTGTTGTTTTGGCATTTGGCCTATTAGCCTGTGCCTTTATTCAAAGTGAGCTGTCTCTGACCAGAATATTTCTTCAACTGTCTCTTTTCTAAGTCTGATGAAATGATATTTTGCAGCGTTCTCACTTTGGTAAGGAACTTGAAGTCCTTCCTAATATATTTTGAATTCTCTAGGGAGAAGGGGCCTCTTGCTGTCCTTCAAAACCCAGGAATATACCAAAATATTATCTATTCGTACAGTATCTCTCCAAGTTTGAATTTTGAAATTCCTCTCCCACAGTCAATTCCAAAGTGACACTGCGCTGCAAAATTTCTCTTCACCATATCCGAATTATTGTATCTACACCTCCTCATTCTCTTTGTGTCTCTTTTATAAGTGTCATCCAACTTTGACTCACATGACTATCCTTTTTTCCTGTTTCTTAAATTTCATTCAGTTTTATTTCATGATTCTTAGGTTTTTTAGTTTTTTTATCGAGAATTTTTCTCTTGACACCCTCAATGATGGAGGAATTCTCTCATGAGTTAACTATTCCACTCCGTAAGAAATCTGACCTACGTCTAAAGCTTGTATGTAACACTGTACATACTTCTTTTAAATTTGAGTTGTGGCCATCTAAATTTTGTCGTACATGTTCTCCCTCACTTGCTAATGGGTTTGTTGTAGAATTTAGTCAGAGCAAGAAGAGTTGTATGCTATTGAAAGTGGCTCAATAATCACAATCAGCACACTGGGAAAGCATAAAATTTACTCCTAGCCAAATGATTTGCGCATTTTCTAGCTTCCCGCCTCTAAAACTATTACATGGCAAAGACCTAATTTGAAATATATGAATGGCCATGGTTTCACAACTTCATAGAAAGCGATGGATAGTTGCTGTCACTTGGCACAGTTCCTCAATTATAAACTAATATTATAACAAACACCATTTATCCGACATTCTCTCTCCTTCTTTTCAAATTTTGTTATAAGTAGAATTATTTTTTTATTTTTTGCTTTTACTTGAAGAATAGTGGCACATGATATCAGCCATTTTTAGCTTCATGTGAATTTTCTTTATGAGCGCTAAGGAACCAAAGAGTGTAACCTAATATCCTTTTTGATACAGGAAGCTAGAAAATGCGCTAATTTTTTATGCTGATTATGAAGTTAGGACCAATTTACTTTCGATGATGACTAAGCCATTTTCCTTAAGAAACAACTCTTCACGCTTCAGCTAAAGCTCGCAACGACTCATTGTCATCTGTCATCTCAAAGTTTACATTACAGTTCATCCATCTAACCAAAATCTGTTTGAAATTTGGAATGTAATAAAACTCCCAAAATCTGCATTTGTCTGAAGTTCTCAGTACACTATGATGAAGAGTCCATCATTTGCCTCAGACTCTTTTGTTCTCAGTAGAGGTATCTCGCACGTATTATTTTTTACTTCATCTCATCTTACACTTCAATTTTTCTGGAGTGACAGGATCATTTCAAATCCATCCCCTGTATTTTCCTCCTCTTTTTCTTTGCCTCCAGTTCTAAAATCTGCTTGTATCGTAGCATCTCATTTTTCTTCTTTGAACCTTTGGTTACAACGATCTGCAAAGGCAGAACAATTTTTCCTGTCACCCAAATGGTACCAGTCTCCTTGGAAAGTGTGAAGGAAAGATAAACTACCAGTGCGTTTTTTCGAAGGGATCAAATATTTTCTTCCCTCAAGTTTTTCTGAGCATCATTCTTTTTATTGATACCTACTTGAATCTTTTTTCCTATCGTGTTAAGTAAACCTTTCCAGTTAAAAACTTTATTCCCCGTGAAAAATCTTAAAATGCAATTCATATCGATGGTGAAACTACCAGACCACGTATCTTGGTTTGCGACGTTGCAGACTTCCTGTCATACTTTATTTTTTAAATGGAAAACTACTCAAAGTCAATTCTTGAAAACTTCCGTGATTTTTTTTCTCTGTGTGAAGGATACTCTATGAAAATTTCAAGAAATGATATTGATTAGTTCTTCATTAAAAAATAAAATGGGAGCGGAGATTTTTAAACACTGCAAACGAGATACGTGGTCTGGTAGTTTCACCGCGATATGGATTGCTCTATGTTGCAAATTATCTTCATTTTACTTCATTGTGTCTTCCTCCATTCTTTGTTGCCTGACAGTGCCCAGGAGTTCAAAATTTTGGTCCTGGGGGATTGTATCCCAAGGGGATTTCCTTTCCAATTCTTGACTGTCACCAAGCTTGTATGAATTTAAGCCTTATACCTTTTTTGAGACTTACCTATGTTGATCAGTTATTAATCATTGCAGCCTTATTTATGAACTGAGAGGAGAAATATCTATACCATTTAATTTTCTAAAATTTTCCATGAGGGTGGCAGTTGGGTCTCCCCACTGACTTTAAATGAATGCCCTAACTCTGCAGGATTTCCTAGAATTGCTGACTATACCAGTTTCAATCTCCTTTAGACCTACCTCTGAAGGGTCTGCATTATCCTTCTCTAAAACGCTACACTGTCATATTCTTCGGAACTATCTTCCCCTTTCCACCGCATTTTCTGCAATTTAGTGGAATGAACTACTATATCAAGGGAAGTCTTTGATGCGAAATAGACTAGAAGTAATATCTAATTATTTTCGAATTGCGATGAATATATTTCAGACAGGTCTGTTTGTTCAATGATAAAAAACTTCAGTGCTTTTTCATTTTTGAATTATCGGAGGTAAAACTTTCACCCTAGTAGATCTATGTAAAGAATTTTAGAATGTTGTAGTCAGCTGTCCTCTCCTTAAATTTTTAGCACTCTCCTGTAACCTTTGCCGAATTTCCATCTTGTCAGAAAGGAACATTGATTCACTGTACACCTATCTTCCAGAACCAAGAGGGAACTGTATGTATGATAAGAGAATATCTACAAATGACTAGAATCAGTAACCGAAGCAATCAGTCTTTCGTTGAAGTTCGCCAGAAATATGTTCAATGCATTATCGAACCCATTATTTACTCCAATATCCTGAAGTAACTGTTATTGAACTTTCCTTAATTTTGGTGTCTTCTGAACAATCTGCATTTTTCGTAGAATTATGTTTCGATGGTGAATAAGAACCGGACTAAATACTGTCGAGTTTCCAAATTTCTACAGTGGAAATATACGGAAATAGCAACTCTTCCAAAGCATATCAAAGGTGAAACTCCCAAACCTTGTATCTTGGTTTGCAATGTTGCAGACTTCTTGTCAATATTTATTTTTTAAGATGGAGAACCACTCCAAGTCAATTCTGAAAAATTTCCTTGATTTTTTCTCTCTTTGCGAAGCAATTTCTGAGGAAACTTCAAGGAGGGATTTGGTTTGTTCTCCTCTAAAAAAATAAAATAGGAGCAGAGATTTTTAAACAGACGAGACGAGATATGTGGTTTGGGAGTCTTACTGACGATGTATCACCATATCCACCATGATTTTTCCACCTTTATCTCCACAGAAATACAAGTGTTGCAACCAGTACAAATGACTGGAAGAAAGCTTGCTCTCAGAAGTTGGATGCATTCCTTGCAAGAAACTCCCGCCATTCTTTTTTGAAGTAAAAATTTGCTGTCTGTTCGGATTTTATCATTTTTATTTTTTAGTATTCTCAGTCCAAAGGTGATTCTGTGACTTGTGCAATTAGCTGATCATCAACCTGAGGTAGGCATGACGAAGGAATAGAGTTATTGACCAATCGCAATAACATTAGTTACCAGACAAAATTTTTACCGTCAGTCTACAAATGAGAGTGAATTTGACTGAATGCATCTCTTGAAAAATTTTCTGCTGGTTTGATCGCGTCGGTTGCTGATATTAGTCCACAAACAGATGTTAATTTAGTGTAATCAGACCCTTGTCCCATGATCATGTTTTATCTTTAAGTGAATCGTTATGGCCACTTGAAATTTTACTCTTAAATGTCTTATGTGCAATAATTTTCTAGATGTTCTTCCACAGACTGAAGGACATTTTGAAGTTTTAATTACTGCAAAATGTTTCAAGAGGAATGTTTTCGATAGCCTCTGATTTTATAGTTGTTTCTACATTTAACTCGGAGGAACCTTCTTTTCAAGCAAGGTCTTTCATCTGGTATTCCTCGTTCCTATCACTTTTCCAATCGGTGTCTTGTTGTTGCATTCTTCCTTCATTTGAAACGTTTTTGAAAATTTACTCCCATTAGTTACCAAAAATTCCCCAAATTCGGCAGCCCTTATTCCCTCTCTGAAAATTTCATAGGTTCATTAGCAAAAGAATGCCAGCTTTTTTTTTCCTTACCTCGCTTTCCACCAAATTTCTTTTCATTGAAGAAATAGACATCAGTGGAATTGTTGAAGGTACTCTTTGACTTGAGTGACTTTCATTGTTCCGGTGTATCACTCTTTTTATTCGATTTCTCTTTCTGTAACCCCATTTAAATCTCATTAGTAAACACTGCAGTTGAATTTCATGTTTAATTAACTCCAAATGTGTAAATTAGATTCTGTTTTTATTCATTTTTTAAAAAGCCAATCAAACTATTTAAACTAGGTGTCCTTACAGTCCTAAGTTGAGCCTACAAGCTAACAATAAGAATGATGTGTTAAACTTTTCATTAGTCGCTAACTTTAGATTTGCGTCTGTGATATGTACTTGTTAAAAAATTGATTTTATCGCTGAATTTTATTCATCTAAATACTTGGTGTGAACTGTCATAATATAGCTGCATTTGCCCTTCATCAAACAACGTGGAAGCCATCAAATGAACTTGCTCCTAGTTATTTTCTTCATTTAATTCCGTATTCTCTCATTTGGGCAATTCATTTTATCTGTTGTAATCATTGCTTGATTAGATTGTCCAGAGTTTTTAGGAGAGGCATATTTAACCGTTTTTACACCAAGTTCAAAATAGATTTATCAAGCATCACCCTAATGGTCACCTTACTCTAAATTGAATATTGGTCAATTTTCTTTATTTTACCTAAGTCAAAACCTTATTCATTAGTTGCTATTCTATGATCAAAAAATTAACATTTTTGGAAACTTCTACAAAATAATCCAGTAATGGTGTACCTATAGTGTTTCAAGAGCTTGTTAATGACGAAAGAATTCCACCTGGCTCGTTAAGAAGTCGTAATCTGTGATATGTTGGAGGTTTTTTTATTTTATTTTATGAAAATACAAAAGCTTTGTTGTGGACATCTAACGTGTATATTAAAGTCCGATAGTCATTGTCTTTTCAATACTCTGTACAACAGCCAAATATTCAGTTTTTTAAGGAGCTAGAGATACCTCATCTTGTTACTTGTATCTCTTCTGAAAAATGAATAACATGAATGCGCATACCAAAACTGACGTTTATTTTGATGTATGTAATAGGCCCCCTCAAAAAACTCAGCTGAACAGTCATTTGCAATGTGCTAACAAAATCGGTTTTGTAACTTTCATGATCTCAGTTTATTGTTTTGGGTTTGTTATTATGAAGGCTTCTGTGAATACTGAAGTGCCGCAGTTGACTCAGATCATACAATTTTGCTTGGTTTAAGTTAGTCGGAGCTTGCGATTTAATGTTGTTTATGGTACTCTACGTACTGTAATGAGTAGAAATTTGAGTATGCCATGAAGATCCCCATTGAATTGATCTTTTGTGAGCTGGGCAGCACTTTTAACAAGGCACTGACTCCTATGAGTTTTTCTCATCTACTATCAATTTACACAAGCAAATAGATCCTTGAATATATATATCTGTACTCTTGGTGTTCCTTTTGTTAACTTTTGTCAGTTTAGTCCTGTATTTTGAAATTAGGATAATTTCTAACACAACTTTGTCTACTGGAGTAAACATCTGCATGTCTTGTAACTCCTCATAGCTCTTGTTGTATCAATGAACTAGGACATCTATTTCCTCTCTGGCTGTATTTCATTCACAGCAAATCAGAATTTAATTTACTAACAATGTCTTCATTAGATTGAATTTAACCTACAAATTTAGCACTTGGAACACTTAATTCTGAGTTGCTAATAACGGCAGTTTTACTATGTCTCTGTTAGATTAATGTAGAATAGAAACTTTTTTATATTGTCAGTGGAAATCTGAGAGTGGACAGAAGTGAAGCCGAAGCTGTAATTGCAACTTTGATTTTTTCAACCACTTTAGTTCAAAGATTATCTTCTGAATCTCGAGTTCATTAATTTTCATTATTTTTATTTTCGCAGTCGGTGTCTCTTGAAGTGTAAAATAACTCTCCTGAGTTTGCAAAATCCTGTTATTTTTGTCTACTCCGTAATGAGGTGTATAATATGTATATTTTGTATTATTGATGTTAATTCAGATATTGCTGTAAAAAACAAGATGTTTTCTGAATCTTTGACTTCCTCTTCCTCATTTTTCTCAGAGGAGAGGTCAATCTGAGTGAAAGAAAAGAGAGAAAAATAAGGTTACCCTCTCTGCCAATGAGTGAAACCACTGATTTTATTCTTCCTTCCGGTAGGATCTTCTCCCCTCACTAGATTTTGCTGTCAGGTAGTCCTGTAGAGGCCCTCTTTAAAATAATTGTTTTCAATTGTTCTTCATGACTGCGTTTTTGGAGGACAGAAGTTGACATTAAAGCTGCAGCGCATTACATTGATTCACCAGGTCCCATACTGCCGTGCTAA